CTACCGCCACAGTCTGGGTACATCTCGTCAAAATAATACCAGCAAAATAGCACGTAGAGCGTTTGAAGCCACGAACATAGCTCTGCCTTCCGATCTATTTCAGTCAATGCAATATTTCAAGATTCTTTTTTTATGCATTTCTATACATTATTTGTGCAATTTCTTTGAATTTCTTTGCATTTGAAGTTGTTTCTTTTCATTAAGGTCCTCATATTTAATCTCTTAAAGATACGTACTATGTCGATTTTAGTATGACGATTTTCTTCTGAATCGTCTTTCCTTATACTCGTTAGTCTTATCTCAAATAAGGTGCCAGAAAATAGATAAAACAGTTGATATCAAATAGATAAATGGCGCATGCCAACATGTTGACCATAAACCATTAACAACCAAATTAATTATAACGCCTTGCTGTAAAACCTCAGAAATTATTCAAAACTCATGGTTTAAACTTCTCTATCCTCTCTCTATTCAAAAAGTGAGTGTCATTTCATTTAAATGGTGTCTGCTTTTTCCAAATGCAGTTTGCTCGAACTTGGAAAAGTAAGATCTGGGTATGTCACTGCGGGATACCTGTTTGAATATCAAAAACAACGATGGCAGTTCTCCTGTTCTGTAAACAAACACGTTTTGTTCCCTTTTATTCTAGAACATCCCTCTACTGCCCTTGACCTTTTTTTTCCATTTTCAGTCAAAACAAATTGCTACCGAAGTGACCACAAACACCTTTTTCTGGCGTCTTTTCTGTATCCATCAATACGGCTCTTACTCTGTTGTCTTTAATCTAAAAGGGTGAGCCACATTTTCACACACGCGACCAAATATAACTTAGGCATGCCTTCATCCCCTTAGTAATGATATTTGAAAGTTTCTGCTACTTTTTCCCAAACTGAGCTCAAGAGAGGTTAGTCAGTTTACAAAAATAAAATTTGTTTTGTTAAAGCAAGAAATTCCTCCGGAACAGAAACAAACCCCTACTGATTGCTACCTTAGATCTCGCCAGAAATCAATTTAACTCAATAACAATTATGGAACAAGTTTCAAAAGACTTCCTCTGATTAAATGACATGAAGGCTATTCCAAACAAGAAATACTATTCTCTTCCGCCCACCAGCTCAAGGAAAAACAAGCAACTATTCATGGTCCCTGCGTTCTGCAGTAAGAGCTGAGCAGAACTCTTTTGCTCCTTAATTTTGAAAGGCAAAGATGTTTGAAACCTTACTCGAGACATGGGCTTGTATTAACTTGTGGAGTTTCAGACTTAATTACTTCCTTTCACACAGAATAACCTGTGTGCGAAAACTCTGCATTCTTGCTTTTCACTTTTTTATTTCATATTAAGCTAATTTCCAATATCAAAACTTCCTCACAGCAGGTTTGCCTGATTTCTCCCTTGTTGAGTGCTATGAAAGACGTGATACACCGTAGGAGAACACCTGCTAATTTCCCGCCTATTACATGAGGCACATGTATTTTTGACAACACAATCCAGGAGGGCGTGTCACCAAAATCACACAATTACAGGTAATGAAAAAAATTTGAGATGATGACACAGATGAATTCTTTCAGTTTATTCAGCCAAATAAAGTCGTGCTCTGAACAAATTGTCTACCGAGCCCTTGTTCAATTACCAAGGCTATAAAGCAATCTTCTTAGAAAGAATGTACGATATTACTGTAATGTGGGAAAAGGTTGAGCAGCTGAACACTCCCCCTTCACAGAAAAAAATAATAATAATAAACGCAATTGAATGTACTTGTTAAATGAGAAACAAAGTGGATAACTCTCTTGCAGAGTTCGAATCCACTGTGGATGATAAATGCGCCGTGCAACTAGTCTGTGTTATGATGGTCTTTCTTTACATTATGTTGTCTTTCAGCTAAATTTTTTTTGGAAAATATAAGCTCTAGGCCTGAAGCGATTTTTACTACTAATATATCTTATTTTTGGAGAGAAATGACGCAAAATAGCTTTACATTAGATTGGCAACTTTAACGTTTCGGTTGGTTGAAAGTTCTCAGTTTTTTATGTTCTTTTTTGTCACCTGGTGAATTATTTAAAATCATATATGTATGTGCATGTATCATAAAAATCATCAGAAACCTCCTGACATCATGTGCAATTATAATTGTATTTAAAATAAATTGCATTGATACATTTTTCAGTGACAGTAGTTTTGATGATATTAAGATAAAATCAGTGATGAGAAAAACTCTTTCTTTCACAGGCTCATTTTGTTTTTTCGAAGAGCACTTGAGCTATTCGATAAAGAGAAAACTCAAAAGACTGTGGAAATTCTGAAGATCGTTCAACTCCTTAGACAGACTACTGGTGTAATTTTTTAGTTCCCAACCTCACGATCATGGCCTCTGAGCTAGAGCACGGGCGACACTAATGCAAGCCCAAATTGAGCAAAGAGTTATCCTCAAAAGACTTGCAAAGCGCAGATTGTACTTTTGGCACGGTCGCGACTCTAGAAAATGAGGGAAGTGGGGTTTGGTTTGGCCACACTTACGATTTGGGAACATGCGTCGTTCGTGACTTGTAGATGATACATTTCATCTAGAAAACGTTAAGTTGTTGAAGCTAACTGTATAAAATGTTAAACACCAGTTGGCTTGTGGGAAATTTGAAGGCACTGAGCCTGTTTGATTTTGACTACTAGAACCACGCTTTGTCAACAACTCGTCTTACCCATGCAATATAAAAGTCTTCGCCGATTACTCATCTCTGATTCGTAAAATTGCAGTGGTGTTGTCATATCAAAAGGAAACAAAATTCTACCCCTGCAACAATGATGAAAGCGTCTAACAACAAACTCTCTTAACAGCTACTGAACGGAAAGAGATCTGGCAAATTACTTTTCAAACAGTTCTGTTGTTCCACTGTTATCCTCGATGACAATCGTGGTAAATAAACCGGCGTTATTAAAAAACAAAGAAAAAGAGTTCTGAGTGTGAAAGGCTCGCTAATTCAATTCTCCTGACTACCATTTGCAAGGTAATCTGGCCGTTAAGGTAAACTTGCCAAGGGAGATAGGCTGTTAGAAGACTAGAAGGTTAAGCAGGAGACTAGGCCAAATATTTTACTTCCAGGCCCACGGAAAAAGACTTTTGTCATAAAACTTCAAAGTAAGTTCAACTGCTGAACTTCCTTCTCACCATCAATATGATCATCTTTTTCATCGTACTCATCATTATCATCCGGATGTGAGCTAATAAGGCTTATTGGCAGACTACTGATCGCCTTTAGCCACGCCCTTCCGTCTCTGCCGACCAAAGCTCTCTTTCAACCAGCATCATGCGATTGTGCATTTATCATCCCAAGTTCCTCTTTATCTTCTAACACTTCTCCCAGAAGCAGGTCTTTGCTTTTCTTATTTGTAATGCTAATTACATTGAAGGCTTAAAAATCCAATCATACGTGCTCTTTTAACCTCCCTCCCCCGGATCAGGAGTGTAAAGGGCGGTGGCCTAACAATTGGCGCATTGGACTCCGGGTCGAAAAGTCCGCGTTCAAAGCCAGGCTGGGTCAACATGTTGTGTTCGTGAGCAAAATACTTTACTCTTACAGTGCTTCTCCCTACTAAGGAACATAAATGAGTATCGCTGAACTGTCAGGGAAACCCGAATGGTTAATTCTATCTACGTCTTTCTAAAGAAATCGGGAAAAAGTCCGGTCTGATGAGCCACTTGGCGTGATTGCTGACTTATCCTACCTGTACCTGAGGTAATAAAATATTCCTGTGTATGATTACACAGGAAATTCCCTCTTCAATTTTTCCCCATCTCCCTTATTTGGATTGCAGACTTCCAACTTCAAAAATGCTATCGTTGGCTGTAATACCGTGCAATAAGAAGTGATCCATTGTACATCGGTGAACTGCTGAAACTGGAGACTCTGTTGGAGCTCTCCTGAGACCTTCCTTAGGATGAGGCAAATACCTAATTAAACATGAGATTATATAAATCGAATTTCTTGTTGCTGGATGGTTGTTGTTCCATCAGGGTTGAAAATAGAAATATAGGATGATCACTCCCATCTCCTCCTTTTAACCCGTTGTTGCGTTACTTGATCAAACAACACCTCGAAATTCCGTTGGTTTTGTGACAAGCCTACCTTTAAATGGCACATACTTCCCCCCTTCCCTTACTTCTCTATGGGTGTCACAGTTACCAGAAACAGTCCATATCAAGGTTTCCCTTACATGCACGATTAATGATGTACACTATTTATGACAGCCATGTAACCTCGAGCTCTTCAGTTGTAGATGGTTTACAGAGACAGTTAAAATATGAAACAATGATGCCTTAGAACGATGTATTTAAACAAATGAACTTAGGATCTATCAGGAGTAGAAGATACTCATTATAAATTTGAACTAACTTATGGAAACCTCTTGAATAATAGGTCTATTCGCGCCTAAAAAGTTATATTATATCCAACCAACATTCGGCGCCTAAAGAGATTAGAGAGAGTTCGCCTGTTGTCAGCCGACACCAAATGGAGAAAGTGAAATGTCTATGAACCTTGGAAGTGAAATTTTTTAGGTCCTTTAACAGTGTTGAATTTGGGAGGGTGATCAAGCCGATTGTCCGATTTCGTCTTTGCTTTGTACAGCCGCAAGCATTTTTCATTGACACGATAAAATCTATGACATCTTCAAACAAGCTAGAGGTCTTTCAAAACCCAACGTACAGTAGCTTAGTATTTCATGATAAAATAGTTACCAGTGATGAATGTTTGACACCTTTTTTGCCCATCAAAACTGCTTTGCATCGAGATAAACAACCAAAACAAACAAAGCAATTCACACTTTGTTACACGAGCGTACCTTGGAACATTTGAGCACTGTCGTTTATTTTCCCGCCGGAATTTACTTTTTTGAAAGAGCACTGTGATTGGCTGTTTATTTTATTCTTAACAAAAGAATAATTTTAATTGGTTGTTTGAAATTTGTCGTGTTGCTGTGGTAATAAGTCTTTTAAACGTAGGTTTGTGCCATGGTGGTGTTACTACGAAGGAACCCAAAGCCGATGTTGTCATTTTTTCGTTACCTGGAGTGAAATAATGAGAAAACACAGCTGAAGACCTCGCCAACGTGGAGATGCTTTCTAGTCAGAGCTCGCGGCCATATACCGTCGGAAGCTTTCGAATGAAGTTGGCGTTATTCGAGCAATTTATCGAAGAATTTACTTATGTCGACGAAGAACTGAATCCAGAAGAACGACAACAGATCCTGCAAGCTCGTTTAACGAACGGTTCGTATTAAATGATATATCTCAAAAACCAATTTTTTACTTGAGCTGTTTTTTAGCGAAAGCGGAATGCAGAAAGGTCAGATCCATGTCAAATTTCGAAGGTTTAAAAGCTTACATGCTCTGTTTATGAACGTGCAGTAATCAATTTGCTGTTGATTTGTTGTGTTTTTGTAGGCTACGAGCCATTGTGCGAAGCAATTCGTAATCTTTTTGGCGACGATGTGAGTACTCAAGACCTGAAGGCTTTGTTCAGGAAGATAGCTTTGAATCCTGATGCCCAGGTTGATTGGAGTGAGGTGAGTTAGATAAACAACCTTGTAATGTAATTTAATAACCATACAGATTAGCTGGCTAACCATGGCTTAATTAAGAACAAAAATTGACTGTCAAGTGAAGTCGTGTTTTATCGCATAAGATACTCTTTGCAGCTGAGTTATTATGTTTCGATAGGGAATCTTATTGGAGATAACTTGCAGATGGGAAATCAAGTGGCACTATATATTTCATAGTATGCAATGAATAAAATTATACACACTGTGATTGGTTGTTGCTTATGGCCTATCAGCCACCAGACACCCAGCTGACCTTAAACTTGATTAGCAAAAGGTGTTGAGAGGTATAAACAAGTTGCTAACTGGCTCACCTCATAATTATGATCAAATTGGTGGGCAGATGTGCTCACATTAATCCAGCGCATTAATACCAAATGATTTCTGCAGTTCCATTGTAATCCACATTGGAAGTGACTACATCATATGACAACGGATTGCCATAACACTCCCTTAACCCTTCAACTCCCATGAGTGATCAAGATATAATTTCTCCTTACAATATTGATACAGTATCAAGCAGACAAGTAATGAGAAATTATAGGGAAAAAAAGAAAATCAGGGGATTATCAGTTGATCCAATACCAAATTCTCCAAACTAGCATTATAAGAACTGTATGGCAGACAGTAAGGAGAATTACTAATTAGATCGTGGGAGTGAAGGGGTTAAAGGAGTGTTCACCAAGATGAACAGGTGCAATCTTATCACAGAAAATAGCCTGTTTATCTCTTTCAGCCAGGTTGCACTCTTGTGAGGGCATTGGGTTAAAGAGAGCCACAACCAAATTTTTGCCAGCTTTTACTCAATGTCCTGGCATGTCTCCCTCTTTGCTCAAACTCCCCCACTTTTTTAGAATGGGAATGAGAAAGAATGCCTTGGACACTACATGTGGCATATTCAAAATATACCAGTGCCACAGGAGGATGGAGGCATGGAATGATATCTGCCTCTTTACGGTCATTTTTGTCTGGTAATTCAATGATTCCAATAAAAGCTGGTTGCCAGCAGTCTGCCACTGCCTGCTAGACCTCTCACTGCTGTCTCTTTAGCCTGTGAGTTGGCCCTTATGTTTAGGTTTTGCCTTACAACCCTGTCGCCAATTTCATCAACAGCAGTTGATTATGGAAAAAGATACTGAAACCCCTGGCAACCTATTAAAACTGACTTCTTGTTATAGGGCCCCTTTCAATGGACCACAACCAGGATGCATGTTACCTAGGAATAGGGGTAGTCCATGGATCTGTTTCTACAAATACTGTTCATTCCCACACCAGCTAAAGGAGACTAATTAGTTATGAGCACAAGACTACTGGTGATTGCAATCTTTATTGTCATCAGGGTTTTGATTCACTAACCCTTTAGCTCCCATGAGTGACCAAGACAGAATTTCTCCTTTCAATATCAATACAATATCAAGCAGACAAGTGATGAGAATATAGAAAGGGAATTTTTGTTTGATCCAATTTCAAACTCTCCAAATACATAAGAATTACATGTCAGACAGTGAGGAGAATTAGTGAGGAGATCTTCAGGGTGAAAAGGCTATTGAAATGGGAATAGCGCTTTTACTTGGGTTTACTGGGTCTAAAGGAGAGGCACTTATTAAGAAACTATTAACTTGTACTTCTTTGCTGTAGTTGAAGCTTAAAAAGTTATTAATAAAGTAGCTGTCTGAATAGAAACCAGGGCTCAACACTAACTTTTCAACTTACTAGCCAAGTGGCTAGTGACAACTTAGATGTTGGGACAATTCTAGTTTGTTTACTAGCCAAACTGGTTAATGGAAACCGAAAACCACTAGCCAAAACTGAATTTTTACTAGTCTTTGGCTAGTTGGCTACCAATCATTAGTGTCAAGCCCTGGAAACAGGTTTTCCTTGTTTCTCTACAGTTTAAGTAAGTAAAGGAGGTTGGGGGGTGGATGGTCATGTGGGAGGCCTGCTTGTGTGATATTATGGCCTAGGGGGGGTTGGGCGCTTATCTACTGCAGATCTCAGACTTGTGAGAATGCAGTCACTTATTCAAGGATTTATAGTCTCATAGATTTTCTGATCGAGACTAATTTTTACTCTCCTATACAGCATCTCTTTATACCATTTCTTGTACATGTACTAATGTTCTATAATTATTGGAAAACTTACTCTATGTAGCTATTTGGCATTGGTGGTGCAACAGATGAAGTACCTGACTTGTTATTAAATGAAGACACTTCATCAGTCATAACCACAAGCAAGAGACGGTCTGTAGGAGAGGCAGGAGGTATGAACAGGCCTTCGGGCAGTAGCATCTTTTTGCACAATCTCACATAATCTATTTTGCGAGGACCAGATGTTTCTTGAAAGCTGTGATTTTTTTCCATGATAAAGTCCTTCAAAAAAACATCCATGGAAATTGATGAATGCCAGGGTTTCAGTAACTTTTTCCACAATGGGTTGTGGATACTTTTATAGGGGACTGTACTCAAAAAGGGGTGTAAGGCGAAACACAAACATAATAGCCTGCTCACAAGCTAAACAGAGGGCGGTAAGAGGTGTTCCAGGCAGTGGTAGACTGCTGAAAGTGGCTTGTAATGAAACCCCTATGAGTGGACTTTCATCAGTTTCTTGGTTAATTTAACCATTAAGTATGCCAAACACGTTTCAATTTTTGCCTTGAATTTATGAAGAAGTAGAAGAAAAGGGAGAGTTAAATCAGAGTTCTCTTTCCTGCCTCTTGCTGTTGTCATGAATGTGATGTACATGAATTAAACTTACTAATTTCTCTCAAATTAAGGGCTGATCTTCTGCGAATACTGTTACAAGACTTGAGATGTTTAATTCCAGGCTTGTTTTTCACTATTTGCATTGTTTCCACAGGGGATAAAAAAAGACGTGATGTTGTGCAGTGCATTGTTCATGTTCCAAAATATGATTTTTACATCATTGCCTCCCAGAAAGGTATTATTTGCCAATGGAGCAGCAAGGTATGCATTACTACAGACTATTTATTCATTTTCTTAGTATACAATTATTTCCCAATCCAGCGTTATACTGTTTCCAAAGTAGAACTGTTTTCAATGTGTCAGCTTCGCCACATTTAACTTGTACACAATGTACCCTTGTTATAAATTGCTGCTAAGATGTACATATCATGGGACCATTTACTCTCTTTCAACTCTTTATTTTGAAAGGCCTAGCAGTACTTTGTGATTATCTGGCTTTGATCTGTTCCCCAATACATTCACTGGATTTATCAAAATTTTGTTGAGAAATATAAACATTTTGTATCCACCCTCAACTGCCAAGGTCTGATTGTTAAATCTCTTCTCTAGCTGCTATGCATTTCCTTCTAAATAAGTCACAAGAATTTTGTGTTAATTTTTACCAAGACAACAATTTCTACCTGACATGTTTGAGTATAATTTCCATTTCCTGTTTGCTGAATGATGTATTGATATTATAAGCTGGGAGAAGTTACATGTTGATCACTTAAAGGATGAATATCCTACTTTGATGGGAAGCTGTAAGAATTATTAAATATTTTTTCTTTACCCTCAGATTGCAAACTTAAAGAGAATGTCACCACATCTAGCATGCTTTCTAACCAATAAGGAAGCTCTTTTTTCTGCATGTTACTCCAAAGGGTGCCAATAAAAGTCACCTTGCTTAGGTTCCCTTATATGTCACAGACTCAGTCTTTCTATGATAGTAAACCAAATACTCATAATTTTGTTACTTCTACTGACCCAGTGGTTCACGAGCTCTCTTTCCCTTCCCCCCATCCTCCCCCTTTAGAAGCAATGGGTGAAAATAAGCTTCTTGGGGAGTTAGAAGATTACAGCACACAAAGGTGTATAAATAATAATAATAATAATAATATGATAACTTTATTTATATAGCACTCATATCCTAAGCTCATGGCGCTTTACAACACTGTGCAGGGGACTTGACCAGACTGCCATGCAGTTTACAATTAACTAAAGGCGAATCTAACAGATGCCTCCTCCCCCCAATTTCCAGTAAACAGGTCACACCACATCACAGTAATCTCACGAGTGGGTTCTTTAATGTCCCCTGCCTAACCAAATTAACTAATTAATAGATGCAGGAGACGGGACCTCCGGTTTATTCGTCCTTATCTGAGAAGACTAGAATTTCATCCATTTCTTGATGTTATAGAAGGTAGCACATTGTCCTCATTTATTTTAAGACCCTGAGTGTTGGTCCGGCTGGGGCTTGAACCCTCGACCTCCCACACAACAGTCCGGCGCTCAACCAATTGAGCTAACTGGGAGTCTGTCAGCTCAATTGTAATGTAATTGTAATGTACCTTTGTTGTCAGCAAAAGTGCAAGTGATCAAAAAGCCTTTTTACTTTACTTGTTTTTAACATTTTATTCTTTCAGTTCCGGCTTCAGTCCTGTGTTGACTTAAATGTAAGTTGAAACCAGTGCTCAATATAAGCACTTATATCTTCTTTTCAAGGGTTGCATGCTACTTGAAAATTAAACTTTCTAAAAACTAGTATTTGGCTATTACAGGCTAGCAATTTATACTTAAATATGTATGAAATAGATGGTTTATTTGTAATTCTAAAACATCAGGAAATTGTGGTTTCTTAGATATTGCATCATTTTTTGGTCCAGTTTCCTGATCAGCTTCAATTGTTTTGACTGATTTGTTTGAGGTGAATTGCTATTAACTGTTTGTATTTGTGGCCTGGCATATGGCTTGTTTCCTGCATTAGGAGTCTTCATGGGTGACAGGTTGTGGATTTTTGCCCAGTCTCAGAAGAATAGCAGTAAGTTGTACCAACCCACCAGCTCCCAGATTTGAATTTATACTGGTTTTTCTCTGGTGTCTTGCACGATAGTGGAAGATTTCTTCACAGACACACATGCAATCAAACAGTTTCATCAGCGACTGCCTTAATTGGCATCACCCTGCTGGAACTCCAAATCAAACTCTTTCAATAAAAATTTCATAAAAAGTGGATGTTCTTGTACAGTACTGCCCAAAAGTAAGTTGACAGTCTCCACTCAATACTCAAACCTTGATACTCTAAACTATTGAGAATCAAGTATCAAGAATCAAGAATCAAGGATTGACATTCCAGGGACTGTCAACTTACCTGTGAGCATGAGTACGTTAAGTGTGTGTGGACACTTTCAAGGGTTATGATGAATGCTTTGATTCCTTTTATTCACACCCCCTGTAAGCAGATTTGAATCAATCAACCTCGCCAAGGTGTTTCTCACAATGATTTTGCAGTGTAATATACCAATCACAATTCACGTTTTCAGTGTTCGCTCTCTTTAACATTATTTAGACTATGAAACTTAACTTAGCTGAGGCCAGCTTTTACATACACCTCTAGCAGCAGTCTACCAGAACCATATTATAATCTGACAGGGAGAATTTCAGTTACCCGTACAGACATGTATAGTGTATTGTGTGTACTGTACATGTAATATCCCCATTCCATTCAGCCCTCTACAAGTGTTGTGCTAGTAAACATTTCTGGAAACTAGAAGCAAATAATAGAAAAGATTTGTTATTTCTAATTAACATTGTTTTTAACTGACTGTTAATTTAAATGCTCTTTAAATTGAAATCAACTTCCAGGTTACATCAGAGAGAGCATTATCTTTATGGGATTACAGGGCAAAAAGAAAACAGTTGGTAGGTACAAGTGTATTTACTATGTAAATCTGATTTCAAGACAGACTCAGTTACAAGGTTTTTAGAAAAAGATTGAAATACCCTCTTAGCCACTGCAGCCTGGTTGTAATGGTAATCATGCATTCTGGCCTTGCATCACCCAGCAGACTTTGAAAGCCACATATGGCCTTCAATTACAGTGCTTTTGGTTGCTTTTAGTAACAACTGTCTCAAAGGGTAGCCTCTTTTAAACGCTCTTTCTTATTTCATTTTATCAGCTTTGTCTATGCTGTTGTTCTGCTTCTTGAGGTCATGCTTGTAGCCAAGCCATATACAAAATGTACACATTGTTGTGTCTTCACTCGAAAAGCGACTCTAAACTTTTAAGATACGACCTTTAATACACAACAATTAAACTAAAACTGACCAGCAACTTACGACACATGCGGTTAAAAACAAAATTGCTAATAAGTTCATAACAGTTCTGGGTTACTAAACTCCGGCGGGATTTTTAAGCAAATTAGCACAACACTGATAGGTGAGATCTATGCCACTTTGCAATACCTTTATGTTCACTCATTATATCCATTTCTCTCCCCCTTCCATTTCATAAGCATTTTTTAGGATTTTTTGCTAATGTGCCGTGGTTCTCCCTCTTTAGACTATTTACCAAGTCAAGCCTTTGGAGAACTCCCCTCATTGCATGATCTACATTCCGTGGAAGACTGAATCCATGAATGAGGACACAATACTGTTTGGAGATGATCAGGGTTAGGCAGACTGTTTTGCTGATCTTGTCAAGTAGTTTCAAAGACATAGTAGAAGATGATAGCATTGTCTAGTCCTGAGCTTAAACTTGACCACCTTTACCCTTTACAAAGTCTTACATCCATAGGCGTATTCTCCGTACTGTTCTTTATACATTTTCTAAGGTGCTGAAAAGGAGAATTTGTTAAACAATCAAGAGCTTCCCAAGTTGGGGATCATTTCCTTTGTTTTTGTGACTTTAATGTGTGACTTGGGGTTGAAATAATTTGTAAATAAATAAAAAATTAGAATGATGCAATTCACCCCAAGGGATCAAAGGGTTACTGGTTGTTTATAGTCATACCCTAACTCTCTATGGAGATAAAATTAAATTTCAAGATTAAAAAAAAAACATCTTCACATTTCTTCCTATTTAAATCATAGGATATGTGAATATGATGACAGTGTCTTCAAAAGACCTTCATATGAAGAACTCAACAGCAGGCAAAACAGATTCTCAGGTTGTCACCATTGAACCCAACAAACTCACCTAGTAAGAACATCATAAACATTTAACATAGCACAAGATGTGGTTACTTTCTTTCATATTATAATTCTATTTTCTCTACTAATGAATATGTTACAATGTACAAAGCCAGCCTTTTACATCTTATAACCAAGCTTATGTGCAAAATGGTGAATTTTGAACCATGGCATCAAATTAATAAAGATCAAAGGAATTTGATTTTATCAACTGAGTTGTAAATTGGCCACCGTAAGGAGTTCCTAAAGCTCCACTAGTTGTCATGGTTACCCAAACACTTACCCAGTATTAAACGTACAAACCTGGAGCAACCAGTTCTACTGAGTGACACCATTGTATGAAAAGAGACCAGATTAACCAGTTCAATATTTTTTTATTATCAGTGCAATACAGAGAAGAAAATTCCATGATGACTGGGTGATAAAGGTTTGTTTTGAGTCATTTTATCAATATTTGATTACTCTATGGCTAAAGACACTTATGGTGTTGCTAAACTAGTCAAGTGGTAATAATTATGGTAAGACAAGCATGTACATTGTATTTTTTTTCTTCATTCTCCTATAGATAAAGTATTTTCCTCAGCTGGAGATGTTTGGATCCTGTTCACCAAGCAGCAACTGTTCTTTTATTTTAGGGGGCATCGAAAAAATCTTGGACCACAGGTATGTTTGTTAATTTTCAAATGGACAGCTTTAAGTAAATACCTTTATTATCCAACTACACTCCATAGAGTACAAATAATGCCTAAGACAAGTACAAATATCATGTGGTATTTGAACTCCAGAAAACCAGTTAGACAGGTTTTCTCGCATAACGCAGGCGATGAATTGGATTAAAGTTACAAAAAAAAGTGGCAGACAATTTAAATTATTTTTCTGACAATGAAGAGTCAAAATGACTGGCAAATATTGATTCAAGTTTATTAGATAAATAGAACAAAGAAAAGCAGGAAGACGACAATGAAATTTCATCATTTATCGAAGAAAATATGAACAGCAACACCACAATGTGCCAATTCTGTTCCTCTTCACATACTTCTGTCACGAACTGCCCATAAATGATTATCTGTGAAATTTGCCCACACTGAAATAACAGTTTGGTGTGTTGGATAATAAATAACTTATTAGATGTTTTGGTGTGTTGTATCCCTGAGTATTTTTACTCATTATTTGTATTTTGACTCCCCCTACGGACTCGTTAAAATACAGCATATTCAAACAGATTTTCTCAACACCACCAATAATATTTACATGTTGTACATTTTTGTATTTCGTTTCAGCTTTTCTGACAGTATTAACATAATTGTACTAATACTATTATCTTATATTATTAAGTCATGCATTGCTTTTGGTAAGTCTGATTCTGGCAGTTTGCATTATGAACCTATGAACTTAGAATTGCTTATTCAGTGGAGATAAAGGAATTCATGATACGGGGGTAAATTTGATTTTCAACAAGAAACACAAGACTTTTTCAAGCTATGGACTAAATGAGCCAAGAAGTATTAGTAGATAAATGAATATTGAACACTTCATATTGTGTAGTATCTTGTGATCAAGTGTTGGCAAGAATTTTGGTGTCAAACAACTGCTAGAAAACCCACAGATCTTATGGGAAGGGGGGGTCTACACCCTGCAGACCCTCCCGCTGGATCCACTGAGTTTTCTGTTGCTTGGTGGTAGGGTGTCAAAGGTCTGGGGTGTAACTCTTCCAATTCAGATTTTACATTTTGCATGACAAAACAAATGACATTCCTTATGCAGTAACTTTCTTTATAATCAAACATTGTATCATTAATCTAATCCACATAATTCAGAGCATGTTTAAGGGGAGCTGTTATTCCTGATAAACACACAGGGGCTTATGATGACTTATGAGATATTAGAGAAAATTTGGTGTTAATGAGAGTCTGTTCGAGAAAACGAATCAGAATAACAGTTACCTTTTGTTCAGCGAAAATCCAACAATGTAATTTATCATTAAGACACCAGAACAGTAGTATTCTTTATCTACCTCAAGAGCGGGAATCAAGTCTAATGGCTGGATTGTTTGACTAATTTCCAGTCCAGTCAGAGAGCTTGCTGTTCCCAAGGGGGTCAACTGCTTTGATTACTGTTCCAAAGCCAATGTCATTATCACAGCTGGTAAGTACACTGTGTACACATCTATATATTATGATCTAATGGCTACTGGCTACTATATGAAAGTAAAGAGTAAAGATAAATGTTAAAATAAAACAGGCCACTGGAAAGATCTAGCTGTAACAAAGTCCCTGACCCTATATAGAAACAGACCACCAAGTCTATTTTTCTCCGAACCCTCTCACTACCAAATCTCATTAGTAATTCTCCTTGCGGAACTCTATACAAGAAGTATGATGTAATTAAGGAGAATTTGGTATTGGATCAACAAGTCATCCCCTATTTGAAATTTTTCTTTACTCTCATCACTTGTCTGCTTGATATTGTATTGATGTTGTAAGGAGAAATTCTTTCTTGGTCACTCATGAGAGTTTAAGGGTGAAGCATTTTAAATCCAGTATTATTTCAGTTGTTGAAATGTCTCCCCCCCCTCCCCCAAATTCTCTAAAGAGTAAATGAAGAAGCTCTGCTGCTGCCAGTTTCATATACAACCCTGAGCAGGTTGCAATTCATGCTTAGAATTAAATGTTGGAGGTAGCTTTCGTTTTTTAATTTGATTATCCATTTTAGGTGCAGACAAGGTCATAAGAGTTTGGCATCCGCTCATTTTCACAAGACCAACAGGTAAAGTTGAAATGCCACTTGAAAACGTTCACTAATTTTCATAATCATGTAGATATCCTAAATGCCCTAATGAGACCCTTTATTCTTATACATCCCCTCTCTCCAGCGAGACTTCCTTTAACAGTTTCGCCATTCTCATTCCCATTTCTTCCCTTATCCCCCTTTCTTATTACCCCCTTCTCTAACTTGAGCCCCTCTCTTAAATACGCCTCCTCTTTCTAAATTAAGCCCCCCTCTCTAATCATAATAAACCCCACCCTCCAGTAAGTTCCCCCCCTAGTAGCCCCCTCTTTAGTAAGCCCTCTTTCCAACATGTCCAGCTATCTAAGAAAACCCCCTCTCTGTTAAGTTTCCTCTCTTTGAAGCCCCACCCCTGATACCCCCTGTTTGATAATCCCCTCTTTCTAACACGTCCTGTTCTCTAGTAACCCCCCTCTCTGTTGAGCACCCTTTTCTAATCAGCTTTGTTCTCTTACAAGCCCCTCTGATTTCCTTATCAATCAGACTAGCTCAAACCTTTAAGAGTAACACGAAAATAGATAATAATTATCACTTCCACACATTTTCTTATGGTGATCGCAAAATGTTTATGCGAGTCATTTTGATATTCAGGAAAATTACTTGGCCACCTGTTCACAATTGTCGACATTGCTGTGAATGAGAAGGATCAACAACTCATCAGTTTATCAACAGCAAGGGTAATAATGTCTTGGTCAAGTTGGTTATTTCATTCCATGTCTTAAAATTGAATAGGACTTAGTGGTTTATCTTCATCAATTCCGTAATTTTCACTTTGTTTAGATCGGTCAAAATTGCTTTTGTTTGTTTTGGTATAAAATTGTTTTGTTTTGTGTTTGTATACAGTAGCTCCCTAGCATACGTCTTGTTTAGCCTTGCATCTAACGCGAAACTGTTGTGAAACAATAAGGCTGCGTTCACACTTGGTGCCCGAGCATTAGTGCCAGGGCACCGAAACAAAACTGTGCTGTGTTCAGACACTGGGTACCTGATAAATCAGTGCCCGGCTCAATAAATTATCAGTAATATATCAATGCCCGGTTCAGACCTTTTACCTGCACACGGGCATGGTGCCCGAATTCTGGCGTGGGTACTTGAAAAAAAAGGTGTGTTCACTTTAGTGCCCATCAAGAATCTTACTCGGGCACCGTGCTCGAGCTTCAAGTGTGAACGCAGCCTCAATGAGCGGAAAGCACTTGAACACTTGGTATTTTGTACCCTTGTGGTAATTGTCTTTCCCTTGCTCCTTCTATTATACATAAAGCATTACCTTCCAGTTTGGTTACATTGTCTCAATGTTGTTTGAGAAGACGAAAGAATTGTGACATTTAACTATTATTCTAAATCAAAGGACTCTGTCGAAGGTGGAAATCATCTTAAGTCCCTTTGCACTTGTTTTGTGGCTTTTGAAAGATTTCCTAGGTCGAAATTTGTTGGATAGCAGAGGCTTTTATAAAATCATTACATCAGTTGATTAAGACTACAAATAAGGCAAGGAAAGCTTATCAAGGCGTGGAATTGTAAACAGCACCTCAAATCTCATTAGTAACCAAAAACATCTTTGTTTAATGCCTCTTTCGTTTTAAAAATTGGATCACTTTTCCGCAAACCTGCATCTGACTTTAATTTCAATTTTTCCTCAGGTATTTAGGGTGTGGGATATCCAAACACTGTCCTGTTTGCAAGTAAGTCATGGCCCCTTTTCCAAACCCTACAATTACACATTTATTTCAGAACCATAGTTTTTCCCCTTGTTTAGTCTAAGTGAAACGTTTCACTGAATATGCTTCTCTTTAATAGAATAAGGAGGATAACTAATCTGAGCTTGGTTATGACTAAGTGAAATATCTTTTTTTCGTCAATGCACGGAAGTGGAATAAAAAAAAGCGAGTTCCCAATGGGAATTGAACCTCAGACCTTAGGAATCCGTAATTCGAGGCTCTACCACTGAGCCACAGAGACTCAATGGCGAACCTCGTAGTGGTATAGCTCGGGAAGAAGACGCAAACATATATTTTTTTTTCTCTTTGTCACTACAAAACTCAAAGTAAGCCATCTTTGTATTCTATGTACGCAATGGGCGGTTTCAATCGCTGATCTCAGCAACATGCAGGATGCGTTTTGCATTTGAACCATTTAGGGGCCTCACTCACGTATAGGATTCTGTGGCTCAGAGGTATAGAGCATCTGAGTGCGAAGGTTTGAGGAGTGACTCCTCATGCTTTACCGTACGCTTGTGTCAAGACGAACAGATATATTTTTCTGTGTATTTTTTTCACGTTAGGTATTTACAGACAATGAACTTAGGCCGGGAGAGAAACGCATCTCCTGTATGCTCTTTGATGCCAAACATGACAGGCTTATCACAGGTAAATGACACTATCGCTCGGCTAGTTAGGTAGCCATTCACTCAGTCAGTTAATCAGTCAGTAAGTCATTCTGTCAGCTAGTCCGTCAATCAATCATTCTGTCAGTTAGTTGATTGGTTAATTAGTTAGTAAGAGGGGTAGTCAGTCAGTTTGTCAGTTAAGGGGGCAAGTTTCTAAATAAGCTGTGGTGCTGCGTCGGTGGGGGTAGTAGGGTAGGTTTTATCGTTTCGAGGGTTAGCCCTTCGAATGGCTAAATTCAGTTTTTAGACTCTTTACGGTAGCCAATTTACTTAATAAACTTAGTTGATAAAACCAAATTCGTTTGTTAGTTAATCAGTCTGTGAGACGGATAGTCAGTCAGTCAGTCAGTAAGTCAGTCATTTAGTCAGTTAGTCAGTTAGTTAGTTAGTTAGTTCGTTAGTAAGAGAGTAAGAGGGGGGGGGGTCAGTCAGTCATTCGGTCAGTCAGTCAGCTAGGCAGTTAGTCAGTTAATAGTTTGTGAGTCATCAGTCAGCCAGCGGAGGAAAAGAACTCTAGCTTTAAAATTTTTAGCGTCCTAAACTACTCAGCTACAACGCCTCCTAATTCTCCTGTAGGTTGCAGTGTTATTGACACTTGGCCACTGACTCGAGCTATTCAGGATGCACTTCAAGTTCCTCACACTCATGACAGACCAATATGCCAGGTTTGTAATTTTCTATTTTGCTTCCTCTCATGATAGGTGCCAAGGGTTTTAGGCTGACTGGGAAATGTATCTCGTTGTAATTGTGCTTTTGAGGTGACACTTCTCATGAGAGGAAGCGAGATTTGCGCGCCCTTAGGAGATTTACGGCAACATCTCGCACTGAAAATGTGTTGTTAGGATAGGGCGCATTGCAATTGAGAATCGTAAACCAAACCCACGGTGATTACTTCGAGAATCAATACCCAAGAAAACAAAGCAAACTTCTAAGGCCAGTTCTTCAAAGGGCGAATAATACAGTCCAGCGGATGAATCTCTATCCAGCGGTTAAGTGTTAACAAAACGTACTGTGTCATCTACCGGAGAGGGATTTATTCAACCCTGGAAAAACCGGGGCCTGAAGCGCAGGAAACGGTAGTTTCCAGGGCACAATTGGTTTTCGATCGACAAACAATTTGTCAAGCGGGTGGCAAGAGTTTTCTTGACCAAAGTGCCTGACAGTGAAAGCAAAACCAATGTTATTCGGAATCACCTCTGAAACTTATTTTGAAATAACTTCAACGGACTATTAAATGCTATATGAAATCTGTGGTATTGTGTCAAGCTGATCGCGCGATGAGTTTTGTCATGCAGCGCATAATTTTTGAGTTTCTCTTTTTTTTGTGCAGCTTTTGTACAATCCCCAGATGAACCAGGTTATTAGCGGCTGTGTTGAAGGGATTCTTAAGGTATCAACATTTCATTTCCTTTCTGAAATATTACCCTAGTGCTGGTTCGATGGCCGTTAAAGCAAGGAAAAAGTAAAATCTGCAGGAGACTGATTCTTTTTGCACTCTTTTTTTTTTATTTTTCTTTCCTTTTCTCTTCTTTTTTTTTTTCCCTTTTTTTTTTTTTTTTGTTCGTGCAGGTTTGGGAAATGGAGACTGGTCAGTTCGTTTATCAGGTAACTGATGCCCACGGCCCTTCTACTGAGATTACAGCCATGGCAGTTGACAGCTCAGGTTACAGGCTTGCCACTGGAGGTTACAATGGTGGGTATGACTTTAGTATATTAAGGAGACGGGTGCCTTTGGAATTACAGACATCAACCAGCTTGTACTCTTCCTTACTCGACGAACATGGCAGTCTAGTGCGACGGGTTAAGGACGACAAGTTCACCCCATAGGCCTCCCAACCCAACCTAGAAAATAAAAATTACTTTATTTTACCTCAAATTTGCAGAATAACTAAGTAGCAACACATTAAAATATCCCATCTGGCATAAGACAGACCGGTCTGAACTGGGGACGACCGAGAATAGCAGGGTCGAGGGCTTGAACACGGGAGCACCAGGTTACAAGCCGGCCCAGTCTCCGCACCACTCGGCCACACCGCCGCCCTCTTACCCAGCATCTTAAAATAGAGCCTTTACTATTTGAGTTTTGATAGACGTGTAGGTTTGATGTTTTCTGGACTCAGTAAATTGGAATACCGTTCCTTACTTGTAGCCGTACCTTCCCCCCTCCGTTTCTCCTGGGGGGGGGGGAGGGTACGGCTACACCTAGGCTAGGGATGCCCCAACAGGTCAGTTCATTTTTGCTCTCCCACCAGGTTCTATTAACGTGTGGGATTTTGGCAGCGGACAGCTGTATAAGAAGTTTCCAGATGAACACACTAAGAAACGCCAGGAAGACACCATAACAGACCTGACGTATCATACGATGTACAACAAAAGATGTCTGTTGGTGTCTTCGTGGGGAAAGAAAATAAGAATCATGGAGGTAAAACAATTTAAGAATTCTGTCTTTAGATTAGACTGGCATGGCTTTTGAAAAATACTCTTTACCCTACGGTTGTCGTGTTGTGGGCGTTTGAACGAACCAACACTATAATTATGAATGTTTTTATGTATCGGATAAAACCGGTGAAAGCTCTTTTTTTGATTCTGATAATATGGTTGTTTGATTGTAATTATTTTTCACGTCACAATTGTTGGGAAACACAAAGGGTGAAGGGATGAAAACTTACCTGTAGCTTGCGAGCAGACCCTTATTATGAGGGAGTTTAAGAAAACCACGACGACAACAGCAACGGGAACGTCACTAAACAAAAGCCTTTCGTTTAGTGACGGGTTCAATGAGCAGGAAAATAGCAGTGCACTTGCGTTATAAATCGTTGTAAATCTCTTTGCGTCCTCTGCAGTGCAACGACGTGAATTGACTAAACTTTGCGTTGTTTGGGGAAGGTGAACGACGTCGGCTAACTTTTAAAATTTCTACATTTCTAATTTAATGCTCTACTTCATATTCAGTTTCGAGAGAGTTTTGACAATGAGGAACAAACTAAATGACTTTAGAGTATCAGTTCATTTTTTTAACCGACGCTGTCCACGGCGTTGCCGGCGGAGGGAATCTCCTCTCTTTTAACAAATAGTCCTCGAAATGTTCCTAATATACTACTCACTAGATCTGGCATAAAAAAAATTGCCTTACTAATGGATCTAATTTTTTTTATGTTTTCCTAAGGTTTCCAAAGACGGTTTAGAGACCATTTTCGAATTCTTTAATTCCTCTCGTTCAGAGTAAAGTTAAGAGCGAAACCTTTCTTGCGAAAATGAAAATGTTTGCCTGCGAACAGAAAATTATTTTCATATCAAAGCTTTGCTTTCAACTTCGTTTTGAAAGAGAGGCTTTCTGCATCTCAAAAATGCCCTATTCCCATCTCTTGTTGGTTACGTTTTATTCTTTTCTGAGAGATAAAGGGCTAAACTTGTTGTTGCGCGGCTACTGATGATGGTTTTGGTAATGTTTTCGTCATTCCATTTCCCTACAGGACTCAGCAGAAGTCGCTACGTTAATCGAACTCAAAGTTTTATCAGATCTCTTTATTCCACCAGTGCCATCAAAATTTGCCCAAGGTAACACTCAGTACATTATGAGAGCCACTTACCTCTGAGTTCCAGCTATGGAAAAAAAATGTCCATTTGGAAAAAAAAATCGACGAAATTCAAAGATCGGTTTCTGTGCATAAGTCATTGATGTGTGAGTCTTGTATACTCGCTAAAAGGGTAAAAGATAACAGTGTTGGGCGCATTCTGTGCGATCATTCAGTCTGTTAAATGAATAAGATAACGGCAAGCAAAAAGTAGGTGGAGTCCTGAGTTCTAGCCAAGTACTTCATTCCGATTTCATTCCATTCCAGTAATATTTCATGTGTCTCATTACCACTAACATTATATAGTGGGCGGGTAGCCTGAGAAAAAACTACGAGCTTATAAGACTTGCCACAGCTGATCGCGTCTCTGACTGAAGACAAGCAGATTCCATTCTTGAGTAAAATAACGCAGTATTACTCGGCTTGTTTCCCCTATATTTTCAGAGGGACAGGCACCGTTTATTTCAAGGGCACCTTTGCCTACCATTGGAGAATCGCAGGAGGTCCAATCAAGTAGTGAGGTATGACATCAGGAATCACTCAAACTAGGCTTCAAGGGTTGGTTATGACGAGAGGATGTGAAGATACAATGAAACGTAGTCGTGAAAGAGTAGGCGAAGAGGTTTGAGCAAAAACACTGAGTTCCCTCACAACCACTACTCCGCTGATTTCAGAATGATCTCAAAATAGCAATCTTGCATAGCGAATTTTGGTTAGATGGACTTCTTAGGAGGCATTTATTTGTTTTCCAACAAACATTCCAGCCACACAAGGGAGTAACTGTAACAATATTCTTTATATTATTTTCTACAGACCAGATACCCTTAGTCTGAAAGCGGACTTACTGGTGGAAGATTCGGTCTCTCAACTTGATTCTGTCTTGCAAAACGAACTTTACTACCATGTCACATCTTTGTTGCGGTTTGAATGTTTCCCGTTTGTGGTGGGGGGAGGGAGGAGGAAGGGGTCTCGATTAATTTGTAGCCATTCATCCCTTTTCTTTGAAATCCATCAGTTACTCATTCAAACACCAAACTCACTTAGATTAAGTCACGTGGTGCAATAAGTTTAGCTCAAAGCGATGTGATATTTCCATCACTGTAGGAGCATGTCCTCTCGCTCTGTGAAGTGACTTGTTTGGAACATGTATCTCCATTACTTTTTGCTGGTACATCGAGTGGAGCTGTGATCTTGTGGAATCTAGAGACGGAGAAGGTCGTCTCAAGGTCGGTCTAGGGCTGTTAGAAATATTGACTAATGCTGAACTCATCAAACCATGTTTCAAATTTGCAAATCCAAAACGATCTTGAAAGAGAAGTTGCTTCACGCCAAATCAGTTGAGTGGAATCCATGATTCGGGGGATTTCCGTGTTTGGTTAGGAACGCTTCAATGCACTCTGCGCAGCTTGATAAAGTTCAGCCTAACGTTTCCGTCAGATACAAACCGTGGCTATCTACTCAATCCATACGCCTTATGGTTAACATATGATACGCGCGGATATTTTGCGGGCTGGGTGGTATTTTTCTAAGGGGCGAGGAAAAATGAGCGAAATACTCCTAGTAGTTTCATACTATGGGAACCAGGATAGGCTGCGGCTGGATGGGCCACTTAGCTCGATTACTAACAGTGAACAGCTGATTTTTGTTTGCTCTGGGTAGGTGTCAACCACCAAAATCCAGGAGTGCAAACACCAGTAAATACAGACGGAATCACCGCGATGAACAGCTGGTGTACAAAGTTCTTTATCTTGTTCATCGAGTTAGGAAACCAATTATTTATGGCAAAGGGTAAATTACCTTAAGTGTTGCTGTATCTTATCGCTTTTAGCTGTGAACATCTGTGACGGTAATTCTATCTAACACATTCTTAGTTATATACGAAGTATATTGAATTGTTTCTTCGAAAAGTCTTGATTAGATTCCTTTATGGGAGAGATGAACTCTCTAAACTTTGCCTTGCACTCAACGTGTGGCTTTGAAGCCCAGTCGGTATTATCGCCCAATTTGTATCTGGGAGGCACTGGTTCGAAATTCGTCGAAGCCTGAAAATTTCGCATGTGGAGGTCATTTGTTTGCTTATTTTGAAGAGGTGAAACCGGGAAATATGACAGATCTCTTTCAGATACAATGAAATATATGAAGTTCATATATTTTGAACTGCGGTATTAGATACATATGGTGAACGATCCTCGCAGTAGATAGCGCTATTTAAGCAATAGCGAAAATCAGACCTGAAAAAAATCAGGCCTGAAAAAAATCAGGCCTGTACGGGATTCGAACCACTGACCTCTGCGATACTAGTGCAGCGCTCTACCAATTGAGCTAACAAGCCAACTGGGAGCAGGCCGTTAAGTTGATATTCTAAAGAACTTTAGAATATTTTTTTGGGGGGGTGGGGGTGGGGGGCCTGAATCTGATTTGTTAGGAGGGTTGCAGGAATCCTAAAGACCAATCAAAGCCTAAAGCGAAGCAGACCAGTGCATGCTCGTACTACCTTCGACATTCACTTAAAAAAATTATCCAAGTGGTCTTTTAATCCCGAGTCTTTTCTTCCGTTCTCAGTAAAAACAACAAGCCGATATCAAACAATGAACTAGATGAAGGTAACGCTGATACTGGAGACGTGGTTGACGCTCAAAATGACGGGCAAGATAGGAATCTTGAAAGGGGTGAAGAGGAAATAGCTGCTGAATCAGATAAAAAACAAGTCGATGAAGGGCATGAAGAGAAAGAAAGCAGAGAAGATAAAAATCAGGAGAAGTTGGAGCAAGAATATAAAACAGAAAATGAGGGTGAACAAGACGGAAAGGAAGATGAAGTCATTGAACAAGCTGTTCATAGTGCATTTTTACAAGTCAGTGAACCGTCTTTGGTATCTGCACACCATGATTGCTTTTTGCGATTCTGGAATTTATCGGTAAGTTACGAAGCATAGAAGTGGCCCGCGGTTAAATTATTTACACCACTTTTACCGAGTTTTAGAATCAATGAGATCTCACTATCAAATCAATCAACCTCGTTTTCAAGATTATCTGTATAACGACTTTTACTGATTAAGCAAGGTTATAAGTTTGCATTCTCTGGTAAATAGACCTCAGTAGGAAGAGGATATTCATTAATTTTCATTCTTTGATATGGTTCATCGGTCGAATACAACATTCCCATTCTCTTGATAGCCATCTGGAAGATTGTGAATGGCTGGCAATAGGAGAAGTAAGGAAAACTTATCAGGGTGCGCTTGTTTACGCTAGGGTACTCTACTATCAGAGATACGCGCAATTACCAGAAGACAGGCATCTGCGGTGACTTCCATGTGCACAGATCCGGACTGCAACTTTGTTATCAGTGGAGATGCGAGTAAGTACTGACAAGTCAGTCGTGCAAAGTCGCCTTGAGTTATAACCGCACTCACTAGCTTTTGTTTCGTAACTCCTATGTTCTAAAGAGGTGTATGGAAACATACGAAATTTCAAGTATTATGAAAGTTTTTTATTTTTTTGCTTGCTTGACTTTTATTCACATGACTTTTACCGAGTTTTAGAATCAAACCTTGATAACGTTTTCATAAGGAACCAGTCATTATACATCGCCGGGGAGGGGGGGAGGGGGTCAAAGGATTCTGTGGAGGATGATTCAGTTTTCAGGGGTTCGGAGGAGGGGGATCAGTCGTTGCTGAAAGAATATAAAGCTTGAAACAATAGAAATTGGACTGCCAGTAAAGGGAGGGGGGTATGGTTAATTTTATTGACACAACCAGAATCGTGTGACCCCCAACCCCCCGGCGATAAATAATGACCAGTCATTCAGCCAATATGTATACGAAGTCCAATAGTACACTGATGCTAAGCATGATTTTGTCACCAGGGGGCTACATCACTGTGTGGGATGTCGGCAACTTCCTTTTAGATCCTTCATCTGAGGGAAGTGAAGGTGATCAACAACAGCAACGTGAAAATGATCAGGAAAGTAACAAGGACGACACAAAGAAAGAATCCAAGGTAAACTGCGAAAGAACACTGTCTCTACAAATTAGCATTTGCACAATTTATTCTCCCCTTTCGTCAGACTGGGTTAGGGTGAGGGTTAGCCACAGTTGCTCTTTAACAAAATCAAAATTGTACCATTTTTTAGCTCATAGTATGACGTGATCTTGCCATGAGGTTTGGTTTTGGACCTAAAATTCACTCGCCCAGACGCTCACTGCTTTCTATTCTGTTACACAATTAATTTATGCATTAAATATTATGTAAACGCGTTATCCCATGCCTCCCCTACCAGGGTTAATTCTTTTCCCAAAGTCGAGCCATCGTCTTCTCTATATGTACAGTCGAACCTGTATTAACGGAGAATGGCGGGATGGCCGCTAAATACAGGTTCCACAGATAAGGGGTATTATAAAAAAACGATAAACAGCGCCACTTTATTCCAAATTTGACCACTTAATGTACAGAATCTCGCTCGAAAATACTACTTAATTTGATTTACGGAAAGAAAGATGGATTAAAAAATTACTTAAAAGGTTATTCTTGGTTTTTTTTTGTTTGTCTTTTTTTAAATGGTTCCGCACAATGCAGGTGGCGGATAATAGAAACAGGCCGTTGGTACTAAGTGAAGAGTGATAGACGAGAAAATGACAGTGATTAAGGGGAAAGAGATTCAGGACTTTGACAACTGACCCCTTAATACAAGGCGACCGCTTAATACAATGCCGCTTAATGCCGGTTCAACTGTATCAGGGGGTTGGGACAAAGGCGGAAAGTGTTTAGATTTTGTAAACCTTTTCACATTGATCCTATTTCCTTTGACTTGACGTTGAGAGGCTAGTAAAGGTTGCATGAAGTTCATGCGTATCTACGAAGTAAGGTGAAAATTTCTTTTTGTTAAAAGCTCTTGTGTATCATAGCCTTAGCTGCTATAACTCATCCTTGCATAAGTGGTGACCTCTTTATGTGTTTATTGCAGAATGCGATCAAGCAAGTTGTTTGTTGGCGAGGGCACCTCACTCGTGTTGTTGGACTGGAGCACGTACAAAGTGCTGACGTAATTGTGTCTGCATCAACAGACTGTTCTGTCAGGTAACGTGGATCACTTGAGCCAAAATAAACAGTCCTTCATGGACCAGTACGATTTAGAAAGAGTTTTGACTTTTACCTAAACCCTTCGAACATTCTGAGATTCAAGGCAACCCTCTTCTGCATGATTTGCCTTTGAAAAGTACCTTTTTTTCCCTACGGGCTGGCCTCCTCGTCCACGCTTAGCAGAACGGCATTTGGGTCATCGGAATGAAGGCTGTTTAAAATGTGCTTCAGATTGATGAAGCTTGTAGGGCCGAAAACGTAGCTCTTCGAAACAAGCTGACTTTAAGAGTTTCCTTGGCCTTTGCCAAATTCCTTTTTCAGTCATGAGCTGTTTATGTTGCACCATGTCATCCAGAACCGAGACAATACTAGCTTCGCGATTCAGTTTAAAAAGCGCTACCCACTCAACAGTTTGGCATAACGCCAATGAAGACTCCAGGAGATGGCCTAATCCGACTTGGAAAAACCTTAGCCCTAATTTTCTCTCTTTTGATCTATGTTAAGGTTAATGATTATGTGCTGCTGAATTATGTTCTCCTTATTTCTCTTCCAAGGGTTTGGTACCGTGATACAGGTCACTTCATTGGCTTTTTTAGCCAGCCTCGTCTATGGCGTATGCCGTCTGTTAAATCTGTCCCCTCAACCCCAGTCAGACCCTATGATATCTCAGAGGTAAGTCACGTGTAACTTGTATAGTACACCACCAATAAAACTAAAACAACCCTGCTATTTTCACCCTGTTATTCATAATCATGAAGAGTGAAATAATATTCAAAGTGCTTTCATATGAAAACATTTTTGAGTAGCTTCTCTATGTGAGTGAGCGTGCGAGTGTGACGAAGTAAGTAAAACTTCTGCTATTTGTGGAATTACAGTAAAGTTCAAACCCTGCTTGAGTTTAAAGGATTGATAGTCTGCCGTATGCTTCAGAGTCGACATACCAATAAAAGCCACGCCGTTATGCAATTAATTGTGTAATCCCAGGATCAACAGATCTGTTGTCTCAATATCTTAAAGAAACAAACTTCATTTGACCTGCGGATGAAAATTTAGTAAGCAACGATCTTCGCTGGTGGGCTGCAATTTTAGAAATTGCAGAAAAGAAGCTTGAAAAACTCAGGCTTTGACTAAATTCGTACCTGTGCAGGGCTGGACATTAACTTTACCACTTACTAGCCAAAAAACTACCTTGACAACCCCAATTTTTTTCGATTTCAAAAGTTTCGTCTTGTCAGACTCTACCCGGTCGGAGAATAATAGAAAATTTTACCGAAGGAAATTGAAGAAAATTGAAATCAAAGTCAAACAGACGTCAAAAAATGGCGATATTTGAGTAGTTTTAATTTGGGACTAAAAGCCTTGACTTCAGAGGTGACTGTTGTACAGCAAATTTAGGCCCTTGTTTTTTATGTTTCAGTAGCTTTGATTTGAAAAATAGCAAAAACAACGAGAAAAATTAACTTTCGATTGATGTCACTGGCGCGCGCTTCGTGATCTTGCATAACCCTATTGAGCCACCTTAAGG